CCTTTTTTTTTTTTTTTTTTTTTTTTTTTTGAGGCAGGGTTTCAATGTAGCCCTGGCTGTCCTGGAGCTTTGTAGATGAAGCTGACCTCAAATTAACCTCTGCCTCCAGAGTGCTGGGATTAAAGTCATGCACCACTACTGCCCAGTATACATGTGGATTTTGATGGAGAAAGGTGAGGACAAGAAGAGCCCATGTGAAATCTGGCAAGGAGGGTATGGATAGCGCAGGAGCAGCAAAGGTTTCTGCTTAGGACTGAACAGTAAGACAGCTCAGGATTGGTCTTGCTACTAAGCAGCAGCCTTCCAAGAAAAGGTGTCACCTTGCTTTTCCACTAGAAGACCCAGAACAAAATGAAGACTTGTGTGGAGCTGCTGGAGATGGGCAGTCCTGGGGTAAAGTCAATTCAGCTTGAGTAGTCAAGGTTGCAAAGCATGCTGGGCCATGGGGGATTGAAGGTGTAAGGCCAGTGCTGCAGTGGGTCTGATCATTCCCCACGAACTTCCTATCAAATTGTTCTCATCGTCTCTCCATATGGATTTCCATGCTTAAGTATTACCCAGGGACTGGAGAGATGGTTCAGCAGTTAAGGGCTCTGGCTGCTCTTCCAGAGGATTCAAATTTGACTCTCAGACTCACAAGGCAGCTTACAACTCTCTATAACTCTAGTTCTAAGGAATGTGATAGCCTCTTCTGGTTTCAGAGGGTGTCAGGCACACACATGGTGCATGTATAAACACGCAGGCACAACATTCAAACACATAAAATACTAAGCAGGATCAACTATACTACACTAAAGATTACCAAACTCTTACCAAATGATTTTTTCAATGTACTAGTGAAAAAACAAAAATTTCATTTCTGCAATTTACTATTTGTTACACTTGTGCCTCTGTGTGTGTGTGGGGGGGGGCACATGCATGCACCTACATATGAGCTGTGATGCCCGTGTGAAGATGAGAGGACAACTCGCCGGAGTTAGTTCTCACCTTCTACCATAAGGATCCTAGGAATCATCTCAGCTCTAGGAAGCATTATTCTACTTAGATGAGCCAGCTGATTATACTTATGTTTTGGGACACCCAGAGTGGAGTGCTTGACTTTGAGCACAAGTAGAGTCCTGCAGACTTTACAGCTTCCAACATCACAGGTAGGCTGACACTCCCCACACCTGCTGCCTGTGGATATGAGGCCAGACTTTCTTCTTCCCAGAAGTACCAAGACTTCTCAGAACAATTACTGTGGGTAATCCCTTTTTTTTTTTTTTTTTTTTCTGGATGATCTTGAGTCATTTAAGTGTTACTTCTTGTGTTCCAACTATTACTTAAGAGTGTCTTAATAGATACACCAACCCCGAGAATGGTTTATGAGTCACCCAGGTGTGCTGACATCTGAAGAGTGACTCAAACTCTGAAGGGCAATTGAGACATTAAATTTCTCCACCTCTAGTAAGGGTCTCTACCTTGTGCCCTCTTTTGGCTTTATGAGACCTCTCCTGGTGACTGGCAATCAGCTGCAAACTTTCAGATTGACATGCCTCGGGCCACTCATTCCTTGTTTCCAGTTGGTTCCAAGAATCCCTTCAAGGACTACCAAATTTTCAAAATCTTGTAAACAGATCATATTAACCAATAAACCTCTCAACCTCTATTCACCATCTATTCTCAGTCATTCTACATTGCCAAGATCAACCTATTTAATGTGCTTTCAGAACATAACTGGGCTGACCTGTTCATGCTTTCTTGTAATGCTCTCTGAAACCCCACACCCTTAAAGACACAGGCATGTACATGCAAAAGTTAGAGGAATAACATGAGGGAGTCTATTTTCTCATTCCACCATATGGGTACCCAAGACTGAACTAAAGTCATCGGACTCTGTGGCATGTTAGCTACTGAGCCATCTCACTAGCCTTCATTAAAAATAAGTAAAACCTGGTTGGAGATGGCTCAGCCTTTCAGAGCACTGGCTACTCTTCCAGGGGTCCTGATTTCAGTTCCCAGAAACCACATGGTGAATGAGATTGAGATCTGGTGCCCTCTTCTGGTGTGTAAGAATACATGCAAGCAGAACACTGTATAAAATAAATCTTTTTAAAAAGGTAAAAGCAATTATGGATGCATATCTCTGCAGTAGGATGTGAAGTGCTGTTGGAATCTTCTCAGGAATGATATAGTTGGGTCTTGGTTGTTCTATTTAGCTTTTTGAGGAACTCCCAGACTGAGTCCCAGATGGTTCTACTAGTTTACACTCAACCCTGTCCAAGGATTCCCCTTTACTCATATCCTTGAAAGCATTTGCTTTCATTTATATCTTGATCTTGGCAGTTCTGCACGAGGTCCAATTCACAGCAGCTCAGAAATGGCATCACCAAGATGTCTATCAACCAATGATTAAGTAGAAGTATAGAAAACATGAAATTTGCACATTAATTAGAACCAGAAAAACAATAGAGTGGTGATCAAGGAAAAGGAAAAAAGCCTCTTATATGTGGATCCTAGTTTTGATTTCTGAAGTACATGTGGAAGCCAGGAAACTGGAAATGAACCATAGGGAATGGATACCTTAAGGGAGGAGCTAGTAAAATTCAAGTAGAGAGGGGATACTGGGAGTAGAAAGGTCCAGGCACAGAAGGAGTGGGGAATGAGGAAATATGGTGGGCAGAAGACTCAAGGAAACCCAGGATCTTCAGGCCAAAGAAAAAAGCCTCATTAGAGGGGACAGTAGAATGCAGGTTACAGGAAAATGGAGGAGGTTCTTCAGACTACGTCAACATAGAGTGGCTGGTGCAAGGAGAACATGGAAGGTTGCTAGTCAAAAAGACACAAAAAGAATAGTCTTATGGAAATCAGTAAGTTGCAAGCTAATACATATGAAAGGAATTTGAACAAATTGAGTAGATGCTGCTGCTCAGAAGGCATGTTTAACTGAAAATCTCAGTGCCAGGAATGGAATCTTGAGTCACTGGTCTAGGAGGCCCCAAAATAGGCTGTTACCATTGCTCAGGACATACAGAATCAATTTTGAAATGGCCAGGGTACTCTCCTTCCCTCACATCGTGCTAGGTGTTGAGCATGCTGTTGCTCTTATTTGATGCTGGACCCTGAATGCTTTTTGATTGGATATGGTCTGTGCCTCAGAAGGGATTTCATATTTGGTACTACGAACTTAGAAGCTTTTAATTTGGGAGATCATAAACCCTAGGGGATAAAATCTGTTGTTTTGCTTGTTAACTTCCAGTTATGTTTCAATACCCATACGCTAACACTTTCAACTTTGGTTGAATGAGGTTCTTTTTGCAGTGTGTAGTGGTTAGTGCAGACTCATAACAGTTAAAGTACTGAGGATAAATGGCTGAGGGCTCAGCTGTGGGTGAGTTATCTATAGCAACCCCACCATCCAAAGCTCAGGGAACTTTAGAGTACAAAGAAATGTAGAAGAGTGCTGTCAAATGATGATTTCTGAACATGGTCACTACACACATCAACACACAAGATCCGCCAGTCAAAATCCCAGAATGGAGGGAGTGCTGAGGTCCCACCCTCCCAGAAGTTTGTATGTAGTTGATGGCAGCTGAGGGAGTCATTCTCCACCAGGGCCACATATCCATGTACATATGAACTCTGGGTTATTTAAAAAAAAAAAAATAGAGGCGGACTAAAGGAGAGTGAGCACACAAGGGTGTGGGGCACTAGGGGGAAGAACCAGTGGGTAGCTATAAATGTATAAAACTTTCAAATATTAAACTCACGCAAAGTCTCCAAGCACAGAGCAAACATGTTTGCCACTGACTGAACAAACTGAATGTGTACACCATTTGGCAATTACATGCCTCTAAGCTTTCTCAAAGTAAAAAACAAAACCCTTCTAAGCAATCCCAAGGGCCTGTGATTTAAGATTTCAAATGACACAAAACTTCTGTTTTTGCCTAAAACCTATTATTTTACAGGTCAACTCTATTCTGTGAGGAAAATATCGGCTCACCCACCCAGGATATATCAAGATCCAAGAAACCAGATCTTTCCATTACTTCAGAACCACCTCCTAACAAATCATATTTAATATAACTCATTTTATAGTCTTTATTGTTTCAGCAATGATGTCGCTATAAAATTCACATTAAAATAAAACAGCCAGTAGCAGGCAAAATAGCTCAGTGGGTAAAAGGTACTTGTTACTGAGTCCAATGACCTGAGCTGAAACCTTGCCATGCACATGGAGGGAGAACCCTTCAAGCTCTCCTGATTGTCACATGCTCACAGGACACCATGATGTGTGCACCTATATAAATAAAAGAACCTCTGACCCTTTCAATTTCTACTTGACACCCCTGCTGAAGTCATACTGTTGTTTTGTGAGTAACCATATAAAATGAAGGATGAAACTTTGGGCTCTAAACTACAATTGAAAACAACAGGTTTAAGATTTAAATTTAAGTCTGGGAGGTGGTGGTGCATGCCTTTAATCCCAGCATTCAGGAGGCAAGAGGCAGGCAGATCTCAGGGAGTTCAAGGCCAGCCTGATCTACAAGGCAAGTTCCAGGACAGCCAGGACTGTTGAACAGAGAAACCCTGTCTCAAAACAAACAAACAAAAAAAAAACAAAACAAACCAAAAACACAAACAACAACAACAACAAAAAAACCAAAGATTTCAACTTAAAATGACAGTGAGAATTTATGGAGACTAAGGACAGAAATTGGCTTTTTTCTCCCTTAAGGAAAAAAACCCACCCCAAGGGGGGGGGGAGAAGCCCAGCAGCAACAGCTAAAATTCATACACTCATATGATGCCCAACCATGTCTGAGTTTAGCCTTAAACCCACAGTATAGATGTCTCCGTCTTACAGATGAAGAAATTGGGTGTGGGGAGATTAGGTAATTTGTCCAGGGTCAAAAAAACCAAGTTGAGATCCAAATAGAGGTTGGCCACCCAGCCACAAGTCCCCCCATCTTACCAGACTACAGTAACATGGATGTTTCAGGAAAAAAAATGTACAGCACTCACCATCTGACCAGAACTTTTATTTTAGAAATAAGCATTCTGTGTACTTTAAAATGATTAAACTAAACTGAATTACTGTAATAAATATTTCTCAAAAATAACAATTGCATATATATTCATACAGACTTCACTGAAGCCCCTCACACACAAGTGATCTGTATCAAAACCTTACAAATGTAACCTGAACACAGAAAGCACCTTCCTGTTTTATTTTCAGTCTAGTATTTCCCAAAGTCAACTAAGTTTGCTTTGTTTGTTCATGCTTAACCTGAGAGGAACATAGAAAAAAGGCTCCTAATCTTAGCATAAGCCACAAAAAGGCTTTTCTGGCAGCTGTCAAAGCTATGACGAGAAATCAAGCATGTTTTCAATTATACACTGAGAAAAATGCCCAACCAACCTCTGAAACTACAAATACACTGCATATTTGAAAAAAAAAAAAAAAAATCTCGTGCTTTGGAGTGGGTTATAGTGAACACAGTTTTAAGGAAATGTTTTAGAAGACTTCATAGTAAAACACACATACACATAATTCCACCAGGGGAATTAACACTCTGTACTATCCTGACAATGAGTAACCAGGAGGCCACTGACAAACACGGGGAGAAACAACTGTCAGACTATCAACAGTGGTCACGTGTTTCCACAATTCCGCCATCTCCCCTTAGTTCACAACAATCGATGCTGTCCTGAGCATTCAAAATATGACTGCAGGTGACTTTTCTCTCTCTGAACTCTATACCAAAACCTCCATGTCACTCATGACCTTAGATATTCTGCAAGTTCTATAAGATATGAAGACACAAATTCACTATATTTTACTTATGCTATAAATTAAAAATCTCGTAACAAATTTTAGTTCTCACATTCACCAAAGCATTTTTAAATTACTCAAACATGACAGATGAAAATGTGCTTATTTGGAAGACATCTACTGAATTTATTCTCTAAAAGAAAAGGCAAGCCTGAAGGGTCACATTACTGAACATTTAAACATGGTGACAGGTTATCTTCTAAACTCAAAAGCAGTTTTGCTAGTGCAAACTGTAATGACTATCTGCTCCTAATAAGCAAGCATCAGGGGGCAGAGACACCAGAAGCGACCACTTCATTTCTTTCTGTTGCTTCCAGTTGCTAGCATAGTTGCAACTCGCATAAATATATTTAATGTATCCATGTAGATTCTCAACATCCTAGAAGAGAAAATTGAGGAAAATGTGACTTTAATAATGATGACAATATAATTCTTATAAAAAAAAAAAAGGAAAAATACTCATTATTCCTAGTGTTACTAAATGGGAACTAAAAATACAATGTTTAAATGTTAGCTGAGTCCTAAACTAGATAGATGATGCTCAGCTTTCCTTCGGGAAGAATCATCTTTTAAATGCAGAACACACTTTTTAAAAGGATTATGAATTCTTTGACATCCAACTATGAGTATCAAAGCTGGGTGTCAGACAATGGCATAATCAAAACAAATAGAAGAAACATACCTTTAAACAAACAAACAAACCAGAACAGAGAAACAGAAAAAACAAAACCTCGCCAAACAGTCTGGCATTTTTCATCCATCCCCTTTAAGAAAGCTGCTATATAAAGTGTTATAGCAACATTTTAAAAAGCTATTACATTATTTTATTTTTAGGTAAAGGAAAGCATTACTAAAAAATGTGAGAGACACTTTGAAACTCTAGGCAGAATCCAAGAAAAGTGAAAACACTATTTTATTTTATATTACTGAATGTCAACTAGAGCAAACACAAGGAAAAATGTTTGCTGAACCAGTTTCCCCTCCTTAAACATTACAGTTCATTACATGCATGCATTCCAACAGGCAGTACTTGCAATTGGCCCCTGAATGTTACACGCAGGAGCAAAGCAATCAGTTTTCTATGTAGAGAGCCCAAACTTAGTATTGGGTGTCCTTATTTGGAAATATAATCTTCAAAGATATAATTATGCAGGTACAAGGTGGTGCACACTTTTAATTAAAGCTCTTGGGAGGCAGAAGCAGGCAGATCTCTGTGGCCAGACTGGTCTACAGAGCTAGTTGCAGAACAGCCAGGGTGGTTACACAGACACACCGTGTCTCAAAAACAAAACAAGTGCCAAGACAGGTTTGAAAACAGTACAGAGAAACCCTGTGTCGAAAAACAAAAATAAAACAAAAAACAAAAAAACCAAGCCAAACCAAACCAAAATATACAATTACAATGTGAGTTAGAATGAGACCATACTGGTATAGGGTTATGTCTGGTGGTCTTCTTAAAACAGGACAAAATGGATTGGAGAGATGGCTCAGCAGTGATGAACACTGGCTGCTCTTTTGATTCCCAGCACCCTCATAATAGCTCACAACTGTCAGTAACTCCAGTTTCAGGGAATCTGGCAGCCTTACAGACATACATGCAGGCAAAACACCAAAGCATATAAAATAAAATAAATCTTAAACAAAAACAATAAGAGAAAAGACAGAGACATACACCACAGGGAGAATGGCAGATGAAGGTAGGTATCTACTAGCCAAGAATCACCAGCAGTGATAAGGCAGCTGAGAGACAGAGGACATTCTCATCAGGGCCTTCAGAGTTCCCCACTGTGCTGACACTTTTAGTACTGACCTTGGGAAAGAGAATCTCCCCACCCCCACCCCTTTGGGGGTGGTATTTCAAGACAGGGTTTCTCTGTGTGATAGCTTTGGCTGCCCTGGAACTCACTCTGGCCTCAAACTCAGGAGGATCTATCTGCCTGACTGTCTCCCATGCTTTGTCTGAAGAGAATAAATTTTAGGCCACCTATCTTATGGTCCTTGTGAAACGAATATACATGGAACCAAACAGCCATGGTTATGTAATACAACAGTAAAAGAAAGGTTTACTTACGCATTGATGGGATCATATTTTTGAGCTCCATGCATTGGTGTTATTTCTGCGCGTCTGATTACTTTCTGAGTATCATGCAGAAGGAACATACTGAAAAGAACTAATCCACCATACACTGCTACTGAGTACAGAGTGGCCCCAGCCACTGTGGTAGGGGGAAGAAACATAGACCCTGAAACAAGGGGAAAAAAGAAAGTATTTATATAGAGATGGGCATTCTTGGAACTAGACTTATAGCTTCCATTATTTAAAACTACCTTGGTGTATCTGATATCTGAGTAGGTGCTTATACAATCTCATGGATTGTCATTCTTCCAATGGATTACTTGTCAACATTAGAACAATTTCCAAGTCAGCTTGATCATTTGAGATACTTAATAAAATGAATACTTAACCATAAGCCAAGATTTTATGATGTCAAATAATCAAACCCAATCAAATTAGCCTATCTTTGAAACAATTTTTAAAAATAAATCTTAATGTCCAAACCCTTCAAAGCACAGCAGCTTACCCACTGAAGACACAAAGACAAGACCCAGGCCCACTCCCAGGGGCGCTCCCATGTTCAGAAACTTCTCACTGGGTGCACACATGGCCACAGTAGAGAGGCCTCCCACAATACCAGCAGTGTACCATGCAGCTCTCAGGAGAAGAGGCCCCCCTAAGATTGTCAGAGGAGCCACCACTGCACCCATCACACCTGGGGAAAGAGCAAGGTCGTTAGAGATCTACAAATGACCATAAGGTTATCTTAACACTGTACCTTATAGTAAACAATGTTGGTACAGTGAATCTCACATTTGGGTACTTCTACCCTACCATCCAAATCATACAGTCAATCTGGGATCACCAAATTTACAGTTAATACCTGTAGCTATACAAATTCCTTACCACACCACCGCTGGGTCACAATTCAAATACAAACAGTAGTCTGCATTTTTAGTAATTTTGTAAAAGTCTGTGTAAGTCACTAGATTTCACAATTACAGAAAGACAGAACTGATAACAATGCCAAACAAATAGCTCAAGGTGAAACCTAGTGATGTCCAAAGGGAAGAAAATAAACTAAAACAAAGTGTGTGATACAACTTGGAAACATAGATGTTTTCCAGATACTCAATAATTGACTTGCCTCACCTAATAAGGAACAGTCTCATCTCGGCAGCCCGGGCGGAGAGCGGGCTGCGGTCCGCGGGCGGTGGCTTCTAATAAGGAACAGTATCATCTCAGCCCATAAAAAGAAACCCCAGAGCCGGTGGTGGTGCATGCCATTAACACCAGCACGTGGTAGGCAGAGGCAGGTGGGTCTCTGAGAGTGAAGCCAGTTTTGTCTACATAGTGAGTTCCAGGACAGCCAGTGCTACACAGTGAGACCTAGTCTTGGGGGGTGGGGTCAGGGTGAGGAACAACAACAAAACCAACCAAACAAGCAAAAAAGAAAAAGAAAAAAGAAAGAAAAGAAAATCCCTTAAATATTACAGGAACATGGCATAGTCAATCACCAAACATCAGTGGAATCTCTCCAACTGGAAGAGTCCAGGATACAAAAGTATTTCAACAAAAAAATAATGTAGTTGCTTCCTTTAGTTTTCTTGGTGCTGGGGATCAAGCCAGGGCCTTGTGCAGCAAGCCTAATACCACTGTTCTACACACATTGCATCTGTCTTCTGAGATAGTGCCTCACCTTGTTACTTAAGCTGTCTTTAAACCTGTAATCTCCCTGACTCAGCCACCCGAGAAAGCATTATAGGCTGTTTCATCAGACCTGGCTCTTGTTTTAAATGACTATTGTGTAAGCAGGTGTACATAGTGTATATATGGGTATATGTCATGCCATGCTGTTGAGGTCACAGGATCACTCTGTAAAGTTAGTTCTCTTCTATCTTTATGTAGGGTTACCAGGGAGTGAATAAGCTTACCAGGTTTGTGGCCTTTATCTGCTGAACACCTTAGTGGCCTCTCAACTCTTTTCTTATATGTAGTTTATCTCACAGCATAACCTCAGGGCTATCTTAATACCACCAACCTTCAATATCAATACCTTTAAAGGAAAGGCCTGATAACAATGTACCAACAATGATTATACAAAAAATGGTCTCTAAAAATGAGGTATACCAACTGAAGAGCCATTAAAAAGGCCAATATTGTCAGGCGCTTCAAGAGACTGAAGTAGGAAGACAGCAAGCTGCAGGCCAGTTTGGCATGCAAATAAAGACCTTGTTTCAAAAATGGAATAAAACAAACCAAACAAATAAACAAGGAAGTGAATAAATAATATTCAAGGCAGTTTAATAAGAATTTGAAACAGAACATACCAGAATGAAGCATCCAAGCTAGATGTTTAGGGCCTGGGCTCTGATCATAAGATATTGATTGCACCAGCATTCCAGCTCCAATCATGGCTGCAAAGGTTGCACCAATTGTCTGGAAGACACACATTAAAAAACCAAACAGGTCCTTAATGTAGAAGCCCAGAGTCAAGTATGACTAATCACTATGAGGAATAAGAAACTGAATCCTGTTTTTCTCTAGTACACTTAGGTTTCTGTTCATTTCAACTTTAGTAAGACCACATTAGGAAGAGTGCCCTCTACTGCCAGAGACTAACTTTCAACCTGATGTTAAGCATAGGAAAATGAGTCAGCCGTTTTTGTGCAGGATAAGAAAAACCAATGCTGAAAATCATACTGGATTCTACCTCACTGTTTTCTAATAGAGAAACAATTGCTACAAACTGTTCCATGAATCCTTTGTTCATATTTTTCTTTAAAAATCTGCATTTCTGTTTACCTGCTCATATTTTACATTTTAGTGATACTAAAGTGACAGGACTGAATAAATGCCCCAAAGTTTCATGTTTCCTTAATTGTGTCTACTGTGCCTTTAAGAATGTATGGTGGTACATGACTTTATCCCAGCACTTGGGAGGCACATTCAAAGCCTGCCTAGTCCACAAACTAAGCTCTAGGACAGCCAGGGCTAAATAAAGAGAGCCTGTTTCAAGAAAACCAGTACCAGCCTTGTCTACAAACAGTTCTACAACAGCCAGGGCTGATAGGAAGACCCTGCCTCAAAAAAAAAAAAAAACACCCAACAACAAAACCAAAAAGTAACTAAACAAACAAACAAATAAACAAACCACCCTGGCAGGCCAGAGATGGATCAGCAGCAAGTTTTACTCACTGAGCCCCAAATGTAAGCCTGAGGACCAGAGTTCCATCCTCAGAATCCACAAAAATATAGAAAGGAAAGAACCATTTCCATAAAGTTGTCCTCTAACTTCTAGATGTGAGATGCCCGCCCCACTTAATACCTGACTAACTTACTAGGCTTTCTCGGAAACTCTTCTAGCAGGCACTTTGCCCAATAGTGGCAGATGTCACTCCTGTTTCAAAGGCACTTAAGGAAAACCATGCTTTCTTGCCTATCTGTATCACCTCCAAAAGACTCGACATTCCTTTCTGTAACATCATCTACCTAGCTCCCTCAAGTATTTCTCTTAACTATTCTTAGTAGCAGAAAAGAGTAACATTTTGCTACAGAGGTCATGGTCTCACCAAAGCTTCCTTGTCAGTTTTGGTATTATATTTTTATGTACATTTTAATCTTTCAGAATACTGCTGTGCTTATATAAGCTTAATTTTAAACTATTTGCCTTGATTCAAACTGACTTTCCTAGTGAGAGCTCACCTTCACTTATTCTTTGCCTCTATAAACCTCTCTTTAAGGCTAGGAGAGTCAGGATACTCAGCTGATAAGCAAGGTCCTTAGACTAAGAGTTCAAATGGATATATTATTATAATGGTTTTCCTCTCAGTGACTGTCATGTCTAAATTATCATAAGTTCTCCTCTTGGAATATACAATGTAGGAAATATCACGGATCCCAAACTTACAGTTAAGGGTTTCCAACTAAGGGAATGTAATTTACATCTCTTTCCTTTCCTGGTCTCGTGTTTTAATCCCTCATTTTGAGACTTACAGGCACAGCTGAGCTGATGACACCTGCTTTGTTTGTGTCTCCCACATTAATTAGTTCTTAGCATTCAAACAGAAGCATATTTCTGCCACCCCAGGCTGTACAGTGCTCTCTGTTAGGTACTTTGGTCAGCTTGGAAATCAAAGATATCCTTTCTAATCATATCCTCTCGCCAGAAATCTCACCCTGAATGGGTCTTTCCCCATTAGGTCTTCCTAGCTCCCAACTCTTCTTTGTTCTGCTGGACTGGCCTTATCCTCTGTGGAAACAATGTTTCAACAAAACATGTAGCAACAACCCTGAAGAACTAAGTCTCAGAGGCTGGAGAGGTGCTCCAAGTTAAGAGCACTAACTGCTCTTGCAGAGGACCCAGGTTAAATACTCAGCACCCACATGGAGGCACACACTGTCTATAACTCAGGTTTCATGGAGCCCAACACACATAAACATGGAAGCAAAACACCACTGCACATTAAAGAATGAACTCTTTTACAGAGGTGCCCTGATGGACTGAGAAAAACTCTTTCAGCTGACTTGTTTCACTTTCAACTTTTATTTCTTAATGCATTTCTAGTGCATTCTAGATCTCCCCCACCACAGAGCAGGAGCAGAATCCATATCCGAAAGCATACAGTGCTAGATAGCAAAACACCAAGTGCTTAAAAAATAAAGAAATATCCTACTTTACTAGGCAGTGGTGGCTCATGCCTTTGATCCCAGGAGGCAGAGACAGATAGATCTCTATGAGTTTGAGGCCAGCCTGTTAAACAGATGAGTTCCAGAACAGCAAAGACTACATAGAGATAACCTGTTTCAAAAAACAAAACAAAAAAAAAAAAAACCCAAAAAAACAAAAAAACCAAAACCAAACCTACCAAACAACAACAAAAAGCAAAACCAAAAGAAGAAAGAAATCTCCACTGAACAGAGCACCTAGATAAAAGCAGAGCTTAGGAGTAGCAGCACCACCACAGTAATTTTCTCTAACACTGTGGAAAGCAAGGGCTTTGGGGACAGGAATTTCATACTAATCTGCAAGGTGGATTTGCATTTACTTCATTTGTTTTTAAGACAGTTTCTCTGTAGCCCTGGTTATCTCAGAACTTACTCTGTAGACCAGGCTGGCCTCAAACTCAAGAGATCTGCCCACCTCTGCCTCCGTAGTGCTGGGATTAAAGGAGAGTGCCACAACCACCAGGTAGAAAATAGAAGTTGTTTCCTATCTGCTCCTAAATTCAGGTTTCAATCCCTTTGATTTGTTTAAAACATATCTGATAAAGAGTAATATAGTATTCTTCCATTTAATGTCCTCTCCCTTTCCCACAATGTATATTTTAGGACATCTTTTCGTCTCTGTATCAGGAACCAAACCTACAGTTCAACAGATTCTAGGCAAGTCTTTTACTACTGAAATATTAATGGTCCCAGGTTCATGAATTTCTTTTGGTTTTGTTTTGTTTTTGTTTTTAGAGACCAGGCTTTTTTTTGGAGCCTGTCCTGAAATTTGCTCTGTGGACCAGGCTGGTATGGAACTCACAGAGATATGCCTGCCTCTGCCTCCTGAGTGCTGGGATTCAAGGCATGTGCTCTACCACTGCCTGGGTCATAAAATCTTTTGATCTTTATACCAAAAAAGCAACAAAACCAACTAATCACCCTGCAACACCTTCCCACAAAAATACCAAGTAGCTAACTTACCACCCAAGAGCCTCTCATCATGAAGTTCATTAGAGCAGGTGTTCTGGCTACTGCCAAGGCAGACAAAGCTGTTAAACCAATACTCCCTGATAAGTACATGTAAGTAGAATGAATTCTATCCTTCACATACTGAGGCCAAATTCTGTAACAACAACAACAACAAAAAAAAAAAGACAAGTTTAGCTTATTTATGGCTGTAAATTTTGAACAAATCATTTGTTAGATATGCTAAAGAGGCTAGAATAAATCCCTTTAATGTTCTCAATCTAATTATGATGGAAATAATAACCATTATTATTGGTTTTGGTTTTTCAAGAAAGGGTTTCACTGTGCTGTACTGGCTATCTTGGATCTGGCTCTATAGATCATAGACCAGGCTGTCCTGGACTCTGCCTCTTAAGTGTTGGGAATAAAGGTGTGTACCACCACACCCAGCTATGATGTATAAATAATTATGCACATCTTGGAGCTATTGGAGATTAAATGACACAAACATACACTTGATACACATAAAAAGCAATACATTTTCTTCTTTTCTGAATACATAACCTTGGTAAAAGATGCTTACTTAGGGTTGAATAAATCTATGACAAATGAACATATTTGCATATTCATAAATGAAAAGCAGACAAGGCATTCCAAAAATGACTAGAGACTCAAGAATGGGAAGAAAATGGGAACCTTTATTTGAAGGAAGGATTCTGGTTATTTAGGATCAATTTACTTACACAGCCTTTTCGATAGCTCCAATCTCATTAGACATTCCTAAGCCATAGTAGCACAGCGCTCCAAGACCAACAGCTGCTCCTCCAGCAACAAACCACCTTCCCATCTGATCAACTGCAAGCACAGAAACACAGGGTAGGATCAGCACATTTCAACTAAAGTGCTGGGATAAATATGAAAAATACTGAGGAGGGGATCAAATCCTAACTGTTTCTTTACAGTAGTCTCAATATTAGGAGACTGGAAGGAAATGATACTCCTGAAACAAATGTAAAATAATCACTACAAAGAACAGAGGAGCACTACTTGGGAGATTAAGGCAAAAAAAAAAAAAAAAAAAAAAAAAAAAATCTAAGACCAGCAGGGTCTACACAGCAAAAACATATCCCAGATGAATAAATAAATGTTTATAAAATAAATTAAAATGGTATCAGTCATTCCTCACTGTACCTAAGGTATTAACCTAGGTGAAGTTTTAGGTGAGTCTAGAAAATTGATAAAGAAAAATGCTATTAATGTTTATGTACCCAATAAAGGAAGAGATGTTCTTGCTTTAGAATATTGAAAATTTATCAACTTCATGGCAGATGTTCATAAAGAACATCTTACTCCCTTCAACTTAAACTTGTTCACTAAGAATGTTCCTGGAAAATCATGATTTGTTCTCTGTGGTCAAGCCTCTATCAAAAAGAAATTCTTTCTATGACACCGATTAGAGTTCTTCCCCCAACAGTGACATTTCCAAGTTAAGAAGCAATATTAATCTGGTTTCAGAATCTCCAAACTTAAAATTCAAACTATGAATCAAAGTGACTTCATTAAGATAATGCCTTCCTAGGGGCTATAGATCCGGCTCTGTAGTTAAGAGCCTTTTGCTGCTCTTTCAGGACCTGAGTTCAGTTCCCAGCACTCACTTCAGGTAGCATATAATCACCTAAAACTTTGAGTTCCAGGGGATGAGATGTCTTCTTGGTCTATGTGGGCACTGGCACAGACCAGGCAGATACTCAGACATACATACATACAATATAAATTTTAAGGGATAGTGCTCCCTTAAAAGGGCTTAGGAAAACTCATGAATTCTTCTTGGATGGGTAAGCTTTTACTAATACCTGTTTTAGTGATTTATTTTTTACTTGAAACATGCTTGAATGAAGAGTCTAAATAACCTGAAACAAACTTTCTGAATAGGGTCTACCACTTTAGATAATAGTATGACAATATTTTCCTTCCTAAAACTGCAAATCTTAATATAATCCGATGGGAGATGTCAATGAATAAAGCACTGATGCACTGTTGGCCAACAGGAAAACAAGATAGGCAGGACTAGGAGAAAAGAATTCAGGAGGAGGAAGTAGGGAGAAGATTCAAAGAGAACACCGGCCCCTCCTGTAAGATAAGACCACGTGGAAATATCTTAGATTAATAGAAATGGGTTAATATTTAAGACAGAGCTAGCCAATAAGTAATACTAGTAACAGACTAACAGCTTTATATCTAATACAGAACCTCTGTGTGTTATTTGGGCTGGCGTGGCTGTGGAACCAGACCGGTGGGAAAACATACTCATAACAAAATGGCGCTGGCAACGAGGCTAATAAGAACTTCCACTTAAAACTTGACAAAAGCTTAAAAAGGGTTTTAGAAACAAAAGAATGGAGACAAGCAAGGCTTCTTAGTTACTGCATTTTTCTCGGTTGGACTCTGTTTTGCTAGAGACAAGCAGGAAGACAGCTCCTTTAAGGGATGTTTCCTGACTCAGCATAAGTGGCGAAAAACCGCACCACTTTTAAGAAGTGCTGCTAACAATTCAATGGTGTGTATGAGCAGCTGTTTAAAATAAATAAATAAAAAGAATAGCTGGGGCATTGATGGCACATGCCTTTAATTCCAGCACATGGGAGACAGAGGCAAGTGGATCTCTGTAATTTCAAAATAAACCTGGTGTATAAAGTGAATTCCAGGACAGCCAAAGTTACACAGAAACCCTGTCTCAAAAAATGAAAAAATATAAGCCACGTAAAGATGGAAAGCTCAGAGAGACTTTGGATGTTATTGTGTTGTCTTTGTATTGTTTAACTGCTAAGGAAACAGCAACAATTGTTAAAAGAAATGCTGCTGGATTATTCCAATATATATTTTAAAAATAATTTTGACTCCAAAATTAAGTTCAAGGACAGGTTAATGGGGAAAAGGATTTCTATTTTTGTTTCCACAGAAAATAAAATGCTGTGGATTCTTTCCAGACTAACATGGTTTGATCAAGCAAGACCCCCTGAAGCAATATCCATGGGATAAGACAGCCTTGCAGACCACTACAGCCAGAATTTCTATGTCTTATTAGGATCATCATGACAGCACCTCCTACCAGCAGTAAGCAATTTGGAAAGAACGATGCCCAAATTCCCAAATATTGTCTATAAATGTTTGTTTTCATTTAAATGGGGTTGGTTTAAATGGTTAATGACCACAACCAATCTTTTTAAAGGTAAAAAGGGGATTGTGGTATGGATATGAATGGATTTTTGGAATGGATTTTTATTTATTGATACAAATTTAAATAAGGTCAATTTTGTGATATGTATATTTCTCTATCGAAGAAACTTGTTATAAACAAGTTTGCTTCCAATATGGCAAAACTAGCCATTTGAGCAAGATACTGCTTTTGTCTGGACTGTTTGACTTTATGCTGTATAAACTGGACATGCAAGACCCACAGGAAAGTGACTGCTGATACAAAATGAACATTGCTACAGTTCCTGCTTCATGGAAGAGAATGCCAGAGACATTCTGCAGGACACAGACAAAAGTGACTGACACACTGCCAATACAGGTCGACAGTTGAAAGTTTCCTGCTTTGCTGAGGAGTTTGCCTGACACACTATGGCCTATGGGCTGAAGATGAACATTATAGAAGAACGTTGGGTGACTGACCAGGCAGTGAGATGTCTCTGTCATTTCTAGAGTTTATATATTATCCGTCTGTGGTCTTTGATGGAGTTGAAGACAGATAGTTATGGTTACAGTTTTCCTTAGGATTAAAGATAAATTACATATAGGACTTTAGACTCACAAAGATAGGATAGATAATGGAATATTTTCTTTAAATCTTGCTAAATGTTAATGAACTAAACATTGTTATAAATGTTTTGTTATATATTTTCCTATGTTAAGGTTAAAACCCTTCTTTATATTTTAGACAGAAAAGAGATTCTGTAAATATGTTTCTTGTATTGGTTGGTTTCCTATTGGCAGTTGGCCAATAGGAAAGCAAGATATGGGTGGGACTAGGAGAAGAGAATTCAGGAGGAGAAAGTGGGGAGGAGATTCAACATGAAGAACAGAGAACCAGCCCCTCGCTCCTGTAAGATAAGACCACGAGGAAATTCTTAGATTAACAGAAATGGGTTAATATTTAAGACAGAGCTAGCCAATAAGTTATGCTAGTAACAGGCTAACAGCATTATATCTAATACAGCATCTGTGTGTTATTTGGGGCTGGCACAGCTGTGGGACCAGACTGGTGTGAAAAACATGCACCTAACAATAACCAGCAAACAAACACAATACAATGCAAAGCACTACTCCTTTTTGAGTTATCAGATTTCCTAAGAAATATAATTTTTGCTTGATTAACTGTTTTGTTATATATAATTTTACTATATTAGAATTAAAACCTTCCTTTTTATTTAGACAGAAAAGAGATGACGAGGATGCCCTTTTCTGTATGCTGTGAAGGTTTCTTACTGGTTGATAAATAGAGCTGTTTTGGCAGGATGTAGCCAGGCAGGAAATATAGGTGAGACTACCAGCAGAGAAGGCTGGGAAGGACAGAATGAGTCATGGGAGAGAAGCAATGTAGCTGCCAAGGAAGAAAAACTCTGCCACCACCGGTAAGCCAAGAGTTACACAGATTAATAGAAATGGGTTATTAATTATAGAGTGCTAGCCAATAAGAAGCCTGAGCCATCGGCCAAACAGTGTATAATTAATGTAAGTCTCTGTGTGTATTTGAAACTGAAAAGCTACAGGACTGGGCAGGGCAGAAACTTTGGTCCATATAGAAGTGTGACCTTTCTTGCAAAAAATACACACATGTAGGTTTGAATGTATTTTCAGGAAATTGTTCATAGGCTTCTGAAATACACGTAGCAGCTTCATGTTAATATTGAACTTCAACTTACTTTTAAAGATCTTTTCCATTGATGGCTCAAAAGCTGCCTCTTTCAGTCCTTGGCCAGTTTTCCCACGGTGGATCCTAACTCTTGTCTTGGTAGCATATTCCTGACATATACAAAAAAGACAAGTACCATTTAGACCAACAGTATGTCAATAAAACAGAGGATTTTTTTACACTATAGTATCAGATAAAAGTTAACTAAGATTAGACGTAGACTGACCTGTGCTCCATCTTTGACATGATTATACAATTTTCTCAGGTAGTGAGGGTTAAATCTAAAGTCTCATGAACAATAGGAAAGCACTCAATCATTTATCTAGGTCTTTCTCAGTGGTAGTGAAGTTATTTTAAGAGAAAATACCTCCTTCTAGATACTTATGTTCTCTTTAATTCACACTTTAAAACACATGGTATACTCATTTAAATACTAGAAGATGGATCTATTGGCTTGCAATCTCAGCACCTGGGAGCACAGGAGAAGTCACAATTTGGAGGCCAGATCTCCAAGAAAATCACCTGTTACCAAAGGAAACGGGCCTTTCTTGAAAATGGACAGATTTTTATCCTTATCTAAGCAAAAACTGTAAGGCCATCTTTAGTAACTGATAAAATGAACCATCTGGTAGTATTTTGGGTTCTTAAGCATTTGAATACAGTTCCCACATATAATCCTTTTGCTGTACCATGTAACTCAATTCCCCAATGTTTACTCTGTTTTCTAAGAAACTGAAAGAGATATAAGGTATAAAACCTCTTTCATTTGTGATAGTGATGTAAATAGAAAGCTCACTGGAAACTACTGTTGCTTCATTTATTAAGTCACTAAAAGAGAGTAAGCTACAAACCACCAGACACTCTCACAGATAACCCATTAATTTACCAACAAAACACCCAGATGGGGATGGAAACCAATACTGAAAAAGCATTCTTTACCCTGCTGGGTGTTAAGAGCCATTGATTCTTTGTGATGGAATTCTTCACAAGTGGGGAGACCTTGGTGAAAGTGGGCTGGAAAACCCTGGAAGGCAGTGTCCGGAGACACACGATCCTTGCAGCCAGCATGGTGGGTGATACACCGGTTCACTAAGCAGATCTGAAATGCTGGTTAGAAAGGTAGAGGGGGAAAAAATAAGTTAATTGAGAAGGGAACAGAGGAGCCAAATAGAACAAATTAAGGGTCTACAAAAAAAAAAAAAAAAAAAAAAAAAAAAAAAATCACAACAGTGGCCTCACTACTTTTTAACTCATGAAATCCAGTTTGCGATGGGTCATTCATCATAGTTTGAACCACCATCCATCCATTGTACAGAATGAATGTTATTATGTTAACACAATTACAATTCTGTTTTTGTTGTTGTTTTAGAGACAGGGTTTCTCTGTATTGCTTTGGAGGTTGTCCTGGAACTCACTCTGTAGACCAGGCTGGCCTCAAACTCACAGAGATTCGCCTGCCTCTGCCTCCCGAGTGCTGGAATTAAAGGCATTCACCACCAACACCCGGCCCCACAATTACAATTCTAACAGATTTTATAATAGTGTTGACTGATAACTTATACTATCATTCAGTGAGTAATGTTAAAAGAATCTACGGCCGGGCAATTGGGAGGGAGAAGCAGGTGGATCTCTAAGAGTTCGAGGCCTAAGCAAGCTGGTCTTCAAAGAGAGTTCCAGGACAGTCTCCAAATCTATAGAAAAACAAACAAACAAACACAAACCCAACATAAAACAAAAATTTGTGTAACTTTTCAGTAACTATTCATCAGGAAAAGATGAATAACCAACTCGGTTGAGGTCGAACTGTACAAGCCAGGCATGTAAATGTTTAGTAAATACGTCAAATACTTAAAAAGGCACATTCAGCTTAAGTTAATTTATTCCATCACTACATAACATTCGATCAAAATAATCATAATTGTCCAGCCAGGTTTTTCCTGTTGTTAAGACTCCTTTCGATGTCCTCAACAGGGTAAATAAACAACTCTCCTAACAAACTAAAATTGAATAGTCTTAGCTCCAGTAAGACTATAATGGATTACATGGAAGTTTTTTGTTTTGTTTTGTTTTTGTAATGCTAAAAGCACATTTCTGGCTACTGAGTTGTGATGAATCTTCCATTGGCGTCTTTTCCCCAAATACAAGAAAATTGGAGTAAATCTTGGGACTCAGAAACCGCCCACGATTTACCTTAAAACTCCAGGGATGTAATGATAAAGCAGTTTTAACCAGCACCTTCAGGTTGACTTTTTTGAGAGTCCTTCCACAGGAACTAACAAGTGACCTTGTGGAAGGAAAGGATAGTCCTGCTGGTACTTTCACGCCATTACATCATCATCTCAACCTGTCGCTTCTTTAGCCTTCAGCCTACAGACCCGGACAGAGGTCTGTGTCTGAACGGCCTTATGTCGTGTAAGAGCCCACGACGGCCATCCGCTACGTATTTAAGGAGGATTCTGGACCTCCGAGACCGCCCCTAGGTTGGTTTTGTACGAACTACTGCCGGCCCTTACGGCTCCCTTGCGCACGGGGGCATCGGGTCCTTCCCTCTCAGCGCCAGCTCGCAGCCTCCGTGACCACGCAACCACCTCACAGCACCCTCAGCCGGCGCGGGTCCCCGTGACTCAGCATCTCTCTCCCTGCCCAGGAAGAGGCACAGCGAGGGCCCGCCACATCTCCCTGCCCCGCCCGCCCGCAGCAGCCGGCCTACACCCCGCTGAGACGAAGCCCGTCTTGGGGACAGGGATTCTCAGGGCTCGCCGGGCCGTACCTCAGCTCCGGTCACCTCTACCACGAGGCTCCCCTCCGGGCCAGCCAAACCGAGAGCTCGCCACCTCCTTCTGCCCGCTCCTTCGCAGCTGCGCGACTCAGCGCGTCACGCAATATCCGGACAAAAGGTAAATAGTACACACAGCCAATCAGGAGCAAGCTCCTGACGGAAGGGCGGTGCAGCGGGGGAGGCGGGGTCTTGGCTCCGGGATCGGACCAATGGAAATTTGTGATCGGAAACGTCACAGTTAGCGTCCGTTTTGGCTGCGGTCTGCGAAGCCGACGCGGCCATTTTAGCTCTGGGTAACATCTTCCCTAAGCACTTTTTTTTAACCCTCTCTCTTTTAGCCAACACCTGTTAAAAATGGAAGAGCTTCGTGGTGGTGTAGGCCTTTAATCGCAGCACTCGAGAGGCATAGGCGTTTGGATCTCCGTAAACTCAAGGCCAACCTAGAATTATTTTCGATTTAGATTTAACAGTGAATTTTCACATATAAATAAATGGGATTTTAATTCTATCTGATAGTCATGGTCATAAAACACATCGAGAACAATTGGTTTGGGTTAATCGTATGATCGCGGTGGCTGGCACGATATTTACCAACTCTAAGAGGTTTAACTTTGGTTAATTGCTTAACTTTTATCACTGCTGAGTTCCGTGGGGGCTGTGACTAGGCAGGATGTCTTGAGCTATGTGATATGCACTTGATATCCTCTCCTTTTAATTCACTATGTGCATTTTAGGGCATTTGACACTGTTTTTTTTTTTTTTTTTTGTGAGTTTTGCATGTGTAAATTTACCTCGAATTAATTATAAGGCTCCGGACCAAAACCTTTTTGTATTTATGGGATGAAAGGATCCATCTAAGCATTTTCAGTGTTTTTCTTGTTTCTTTTGTCATGCATTTTACATGAACTAGGTATAAATGTATTAATACAAACATTTACTTGCGCTTTTAGTAAAGTTTAAGTTTTTATGACTAACGATCTTTTTTGTTTATTTTATGATAGATATTGAAAACTAAACGCTAATTGGCTGAGTTTCTTGTTTTGAGGGTTTGACAAGAAAATAATGGCAGTGTTCTACATAGTGAATTCCAGAACATCCAGAGCCACACAGTGAGACCCACTTTGGAGAGTGAAAAAATAAAAAACAAAACAGAAACAAAACTGAAAGAGAATATAGTGCCACAGTTGAAAACCATGACTTTCTAATTGCCATAAAAACATTCTTGACAAATGTGGCAATGTTTGATTAGAGTCAATGTGTTTAAGTCTACTATTGATGATTATTGAAATTTTGTTTTGTTGTTTTGTCTTCACCCTATCCCCCCACCCCCAAGCTTCAGGCTATACTTGTGTAGCAGAACACTGACAAGCCACTCTTCCTCTTATCAAGGGTTTTTTTGTGAAGGCTACTGGAATGCTTCAGTGGGGAGTAATTTATTACAGAGCAGCAATCCCTCCAGCCCAAGCATTATTTCTCAATATACAATTATTGATAAAACCAAACCAAGAATGTGTTCAGTGTGGCAATAAGGAATTCATGAACAAAGTGAAAGCAGTTCATTTAGGCAATTTTTATTTATTTATTTATTTATTTATCTATTTATTTATTTATTTATTTATTTATTTTTGGTTTTTTTGAGACAGGGTTTCTCTGTAGCTTTGTAGACTAGGCTGGCCTTGAGGTCATAGAGGTCCGCCTGCCTCGGCCTCTCGGATTAAAAGCATGTACCACCACCACCAGGGTTGGCAATTTATTTATTTGTTTGTTTTTATAAAGAGTGTGCTACAACCTAAACCAGGATAAGGAGCATACCAGGAGAGGAATTTCACTTGGTTTCTAGTCTGTCACCTTGGCTGTGTCTTTTAACCACTGGCTGGGGTCCCACTTCACAATCTTTCATGATTGACTAGTTTTAAAAGGATTTGTGTAAAGGAAATGAAGAAAAATAGGAAGGTGGTGGTCCTTTAACTTATTCAAATTCTAGAATACTGCAGGGCCTTTATATAAACAAAAGTTTTACCCAGTGGTGTGGTAGTGAAGCATTAAAACATTTGCCTAAAGATTTTACAAGGACTGTGGATGGGGGTTTAAACATTTGCATGGAAGTCTTATAAGGTGGGGAGATAAACGTATTTGAATTCTTTATCATAAAAATTTCCCATTATTTGACAGAAAAGACTAATTAATAGTTCTTATACTGTCTGTATTGCCTGGTAAACAAATATTTATTGGCTGTTCATTGTGAACCAAGGAATAGAGGTGATTAGCAACTGAAACACTATACTCTTCCTTTTAGGCATTTACTTTCTGGTGGAGATAGAAAACACAAAAGCATAATGTTAAGTGGTAATAAGTACTATGAAGAAGGGTAAAGCCCTAGAGGTCTGCAACTTTAAATAGGATAATTAATAACATGTAAAATTTATGAACCTTTATTATCTTCTAAGCAATTGTTTATTGTGATTTATGATCTTCTAACCAGGTGTATCTTGACAGACATAATGTGTTGCTCATTATATGGGTAATAAAACAGCACCAGAGTTCTTGTCTTTTTTCTCTGCAAATGCCAAGAAAACTCACCAATGACATTGACTATATGGAACATAGATGGAGGATAAAAAATTTAATCTTCAGGTCATCACCCAATTTGAGTAGCTCACAAGCAGGATTGCTGTTTATCTTCTTTAATTGAAAATTCTTTTCCCTACATCCACAGTATCTGAAATAAAATCTAAAAGTCATTGACTCAAGGCTCCTATTAATTAAACCTTATTCTTTGTATAGAAAGTTTTTTTCTTCCATATTTTTCTTTGTATTGTCATATTAGATATTTTGAAACAGGGAACCAACCTGCTCATATAATTAGGAAAATATGCTCTCTTCTGCCAGTGTGGGGAGAGGTTGAGGGTTTAGATGAAGAGGGAAAGAGGGGACAAAAAAAAACCCCTAATTGTAATAATGCAAGCATAGGTGATGAAGGCTAGAGTTATGGCAATGGAGGACATGCTAATAACTGGATATACTGAGTGAGTATGTATCAGGAAGAGTGACACTGAGTAATCACTCTGTTCTGAATACAGTGATTATGAGTGGATGAAGATACTATTAATCTAGAGAAAGGATACAGGGGAAGGTACAAATGGCATTTATATATATATATATATATATATATATATATATATATAATGAATTTACTGCTTCTAAAATGTTAGTGCTAAGGCAGATAAAAAAGACTTGAATTATGAATTCCAATGCTCAATTATACAACATAAATTTTATTACAGGCTTGATTCTTTACTGTGGAATAAAACCCCATTGTGTGTACACCACATATTCTCTATCTGTAGATAGACAAGTGAACTGATTCCATGATTGGCTGTGGTGAATAGTGCTGCAGAGAACATAGATGCTGCCTTGGAGTGCTTAATGATAGCCATTCTGACTTCGTTGCTAGGATCCTTAGTGGTTGGATAAACACCACAGGAGGCTGTGAACACACAGCTGCTTGTTTGTTCCTTTGACATGCTAATCAGTTATGTTTTTAGATAACTGGAAAAACACCTAGGTTCTTGGGATTAAGATTAGGAAGTCCTCCCCTAAAGATTAACCCAGCTGCAGTGGGAGAGAAACCTGAAGTAAGGCTAAGGGAGCATTAATAGAGAGGATAGTACACCTGTAACAAGGGGCAAGGTGATATACTGGGAAGAGGATAAAGAATTGGTGGCTTGGCTCTTTGACCATTGTGATGTTTGTTGCGGTGGGCACAGAAAACTCATTCTGCTCATTATGATGTAAACTTGAGTATGAAAGCTGTGCTTCTTTTCCCAGGCCAACTGAGGAAGAAATAAATGACACATCCTAGTACTGTTGGCATAACTGCACTCATCTAAAGACTGTTGGTTGATCCCTCCAGAATCTGGATGGGTATGTCTGCTTTCCTATCTTCCTTCTTTCCTTCCTCCCTCCCTTTCTCTCTCCCTCCCTCCCTCCTCCCTCCCTCCCTCCCTCCCTCCCTCCCTCCCTCCCTTCCTACAGGATCTCATGTTGCTGAGGATGACTTTGAACTCCTGATTGTCCAGGTTTTAGTTCTCCAGTGCAGAGATTATAGGTACACATCACCACACCCAGTCTATTTGCTCCTGGGGGTCAAACCTAGTACTTCCCTGAAGGTTTGGCAAGCATTCTGTCAACTAAGTTACATCTATGGTATATGGAGGCTGTCTTTAAAATCATTAAAAAATGTATGCATATGAGTATTTTGCCATCATATATGTATATTCACCATGTGCACACATGTTTTATGGATGACAGAAGAGGGCATTGGGTCTGCTGGAACTAGAGGTTCAGCTGGTGGTTGTATAAAGTGAGGAAATGACTATCCCAAGGTAAGGTTGAGGAGAAGGTTTTTACTGAAGATATGAGCGAGAGTACAGCCAGAGGCGTCAGTAAGGGTCCAGAGCAGAGAGAAAGTACTATACTGAATATGGCCATCTGAATGGACCAGGCCATGAAGGGGGAGAGAGTCGGGGTGAAGACAAGAGGGAAAGAGAGGATGTGTAGCTCAAGAAGACCAAGAAAGGAAAACAAAAGAGAGGACCATGAGAACACAGGGCTGAAATGGCAGGGTTATATGGGAAGAAGAAATTGGGGAGTGAAGCCATGTGCTGGAGAATTTTGGGCTAGAGGGTGGAATGAGAAGAACCAGAGATAGCTGAGATATTGAGGATCCTAGAGGCCACAGTGCATTGGTATGTTAATAGGCACAACAGATAGCTATTTGTCCCTTCTAACGGTGATAAGGAATGGCTCCTTTGGAGAAGGGTGGGTGCTAGAATTTGGGAGAGTGGCATTTCTTTTGGATCTGTCAGAGTCCTGGTATCATTTTAAGAGGGAACACCTAAGATCTTTCTCTCTCTTGGTCAAGACAATGAGAAGATGCTCCTGTAAGGCACAGCTCTTCCCCAGAGCCACCCAGATACACATAACTGTGAATTTCCAGCTCCAGAAAAACAAGGAACATTTCTGTTATTTAAGGCATTGAGACTGGTATTTTGTTATAGCAATCCAAGCAGATGAATATATTATTCCTTCAAGAACGAGGTTCCTATGATAGTTAAACAAAATAACATGTGCAATTTAT